AGCCTCAATTTTGGGCCCCAAAAAAAAAAAAATCTTAAGCCCCATTCCCTTTCCCATACGAATAAAAGATATCCGTTAGCACACAGTCAGCACCATGACCACAGCCACCAATAATATACAAACATCTCCCTGGAACCTGATCTATAATGCGATCTCTCTAGCTGTCATTGGCAACTTAAGGCTGGGCGGAGCACAATCCATACATTTAGGCCAATACTTCGAGTGAATTAAGAAAGGGAGGTGGAAAATAACAGCATATTTAGAATCTAGTGCTTCAATTTTCACCTAGCTTTTTCTCCAACCAAGCATGGCTTTATTTAACCAAGATAAAATTAAATGCCATATATACGTGCAACATCTCTCATTACATCCCCTTCCTATCTTAAGAGTGAAGATATTCAGTCCTATTCTGTTTAAATGACAATTACTTGCACTTTTGGAACGCAAAAACAGCTCGTACGAAGTAGGTCACAGCGGGACTTTCAAAATGAGGATACTAAAAATGACAAAGCACAAGTTTGTCATAAAGGACCAAAACCATGTTCTCATTAAAATGGTTTGCAAATTCCATAGCGTAGGAACAGGCTCTCTTGGCTCATATAGGGCAGGAACAAAAATGCACCAAACCCAATAAATACAAAGTGTTCACTTAGTGCCCACTTCTTAGACTAAATTTTCCTAGACACAGTTCCCATGAAGAATTTATTAGTCGCTACAATGTCTTCAAGAGACATGGATGAAAATGAAACAGGGGCTGAAACTGTAGCTTGAGTCATTGATCAATTGCAAAATATTACGTTAACTAACTACGATATTTTTAAAAGTGCATATCTCAGAGAAAACTTTCATAATAATGGACACACCTCATCATTTACACCACCGTGCAACTGAAGTTGATAAGATCTTTCCTGCTGCCAGCGCTGACCAAGCATTACAAGGCCCATCACTGCAGCTGCAATGAAAATAGACCAGTATGCATTTGCCTCCTTCGCATGAGCATATAAGGCAGCAGCTCTTCGCTTCCACCAAGCTTCACAAGGAAGATCTGATGGGTGGCACTTATAATCACTGGGAAAATTCTTTGAATCTGATAAATCAAGAGAAGTGTTTGACTCTTGTTCAGCAGGTTCGACTGCTTCAGATACAACTATATTATCCCCATATGCAGTTGCATCACCAAAATCTGTCTCACTGTGTAAAGAATTGTATTTTGCAGTGTCATACATGCTTTCCTCTTTGCCAATCAAACCTAAATCTTCTAAAGTTGTACCTTCTGCAAACTGTTTACCATGAACAGAAAATTTGCTCATCTTATCATCAAGAAAAGGAATATCTGAAAAGGCTTCTGAAACATTCATTTCAGATATCATCACACTATCTTCATCCTTTCCACTAGGTCTGGCCCCGTCATCAACAATAACTTCAGAGATATCTTTGCCTCCTGATTCACCAAGAATCTCACTATAATCAGGTTCCAATGGCAAGTTCTCATGCTCAATGGGTGGAAAAACAAAATGACGAGACATGAATAAGGCATGTGATGTTTCAGCTTCATCCTGCATCGACGCGTCTCCCTTGTCATCATCTTTCAACTCAACTTGTCCAGAACGAGGAGCAGCTTCATATGCTGATGCTGTAAGTGTCACAACCTCCCATTCATTCCCACGAGAAGTCCTCTCCTCTCCATCCTCATTATCTGCCATCTTTTTCCTTTGTCAGAAAAAGGATATCAGAATACCAATTCTATCCGGAATGAACGTAAATATACAGGTGGTTACACAAAACATGTACATACACAAGGAGTGAAGAAATTGATTTAACCCAAAACACAAGAAAATAATATATTTATAGGCCAAAACAGAATCCTAAATGCGTAATCAGCTTCACTCAAAGTTTCTTACGGGATGAACGCCTTTTTGTTTTTGGGAAACAATTGGTTGCGCCTCTGCAATTTCTGCTGCAAAATAAAAACACAACCAAAACCAACCAAGTTTTCTTGTTATAAATGATATCCAGCCTTTGACGATTATTTCTTTACTTATATGCTTTTAAAAAGTATCTTAATTTCATCAAGTATGCAAAAGCTTTCACAAGTCGTCAATCCATTGAACAAACAGCAAACTTGCACAGGCACATGACAACATAAATACAGACATGTTAATGGATTAAAATCGCTGCTAGGAGACCCAAAACGGTATTAATCAGACGATAGCAACCACGCCAGAACCAACAAGATATCAGATAGATCAGATGTTACAACCATCGGATTATTTTCCTCCCAGAGGCCGTAAAAAAAAACAACATATTTCATAGCAACAGGAAGAGAAATACTTACAGGAATCCGACGAGATCGACGTTGAGACCACTGTCCGAACAGATTTCCGATGGGATTAAAACTGAAACTCGGAGCTCAGAAAATGGTTTTTATACTCGGGATTATCGGGAAAGGCAATAGGAGACCGGTGGTATCGGTAAACGGGGGCGTGACCGGCTGTAGTAGGTAGAGTGTAAAGGGAGATGGGCGCTGCGATTTCGGGACGGGCGGTAAGAAAGTGGGGTTACCGGTAATGTCGTGTTGCGTGGTGGGAGAGGTAAGGATATAACTGTCACAGAGGACGTCAGGCACCAGCTCGAAGAAAATAATAATGATAAGAATAACTATTAATATTTATGTTAATTTCGAAAATTTGAAATTAATGTAAAATTTGAGATCATTTCACATTTTTAATTGAAAAGTTTTTTGTGATATGAAAATTTATTTATTTATTTTTTTCTTGCCTGAGCTGATGCTTGATATAGTTACTAGCATTAGATATTAGATAAGGTTATAAGATATTAAAGTTTAATTTGTATAACACTTTAGGAGTAGCTAGACATTGTAGGATTTTGAATTTGACATTAATTAAATATTTTTGTCGCCCAACTTATAAACACTATTAATTTAATGCTTAATAAAACAAAAAAAAGTAAAATTAAGCTTAAAATTGTATAAATAAACATTTTTAATTTGTGTATTATACAAAAAAATTTAATTATTTAAAATTCTGCAATTTTTTTTTTAAAAAAGTTTCAAATATCGTAGTCTTTTTTTTTTTTTTGCAAAAAAGGAGAGGGGATGAGGATGAAGCCTTGATTCTGGTAAGTTATTCCTTTAGTCTTTAATATAAAACTTATTTAATTAATTAAGAATTTAGTTATTTGAGAGATTAAGGAAGTAAGAATTTTTATTTAATAAATCATGTTATCATTCCTAAATATTCCCTTACTAATTAAGTATATTGGCTTAAAACTATCATTATTAGAAGGATTATCTTGGAAAAAATGCATAATATAAGAGACAAAATGGATTGGGTCTTATAATTAAGGACCAAATAAAAAGTCAATTGGGTCTATAATAAGGACCGGAGGAATCCTTTGCTTTAAATTCGAAAGTTAGATTTTTTTTTAATTATAAAATATGATATATTTTTTTAAAACATCATGCGATCTTTCTTAATCTTCTCTTCTCTTCTACTTGATTATGATTGAGAGATATCAAAAAAATAATTTAAAAAAATTAATAAATATAAAAGTATATCTTATATTTATAACTAAAAGTAACTTAACAATTAGATATTATATTAAGGATGTAAGAGTAACTTTAAATGAATCTTGAATGATGTGAGTTGAGCTTTGACAAGCATCGTGGCTGCACGCGCATCCCTCCTTGCTTTCCTTCGTTTTGTTTTTTTTTCAGGGAATTAAAATAAAAATCCAGCGGATGGCTTAAGACTTATCACTCATTCTTTCTTTTTTTAAACAAATTAAAGAAAATTCAACCCATGACTTATTGACTAATCACTCCAATATCTACCTTGGTCCTAATTATAAGAGCCAGTTAAACTATTTGAAGGATTAAGGAATAAGTGAGTTTGTTATTTGTCCTAAATAGGTATTGTCTTTCCTAAAATATCCTTATTAATCAAGTGTGTTGACTAGAACTCTTATTATTAGAAGGGCTATTTTGAAAAAAAAAGTATAAATATGAAAGACAAAGTGGATTGGGGTTTTATATTTAGGACCAAAATAAAAGTCAAACAGGGTCTTATATTAAGGACCGGAGGTAGTAGTTTATTAATGTGGGTTTTGCCTCTGCTAATAAAGCCTTTTAATTTCCATGCATATGAATGGATCCAATCTCAACACATCTTGTTTAAGAATCTAACTTTCTTGTTTTGGAGGATTATAAATTTCACGTGTTATGTTTAAGGATAAAATAATTTTAAAACAAAAAAAAAGTACTGCCCAATCCCTTGCTGTTAGATTTTTCTTTTCTGTTCTTTTTCTTTTTGTTGGGATGGGTTTGTTTGTGAGTGTAGGAAAGCATTAAATATGGAGGTGCCCCTTTTGTTTGGGGGTGGGGTCATAATCTACAATGAAGAAAGATGATGCCTTCCTTGTCCTTATGGATTTTGTTCTCACATGTTTGTCATCCAATTTTTTTATATTTTCTTCTTATCCTCTACTCGTTCTTTTTCCAGAAGTTAAAATGTCTTCGGCTTTATATTTCAAAATATGCAAAAAATTATTTGGAAAGTCCAATTCTATCAAGTGAATGCTTACGTGCCTTCAATCATTTTTTACATATACAGTAAAAAAGGTTTCTAAGAGAATTTGAAAGGAAAACATGCGTTTCAAAGTTAGTGCAAATGATTGATTATGACGTGATTATTATGTTAGGATGGGATAATTTAAACTCATGAATATTTATATATATATATATGGAGTATAAAATAGAGCAAAGAGGGATGAGGTGTGAGTTAAAGAAAATAAAAAAAAATGTAAACTTATGATTTTCAATGTGAGGCAGAAAAAAATTAGTCTAGACTAAAATTTTGAAAAAGAAAAACGGACCAGCTTCGTGGACACGTGGGTTGATTTCATTGGGGATAGCAGCAAGAATGGAGGGTTGATTTCATTGGAAAAGAGCCGCGAGAAAGGAGCTGTACGGATGGCGGGTAAATACAAAGTATTAAACCACTGGAGCGAATGATATCTATATACCAATCTAGGATCAGGGACGATTAGGAGACTCGACGAAAATGGGGGACTTGTACGCCTTGGACTTCGATGGAGTTCTGTGTGATAGCTGTGGGGAGAGCTCTATCTCCGCCGTCAAGGTTCGCCTCCTTTATCCTCCTCCGATTGACCTCGAGAAAGTTGAAGAAAGCATCGAAAATTCAGCAGATATTTGTGTCAGGATACGTAGATTAAGGTGCTCATTTGTTTGTCTTGCATCTTGCATCTTTTCTTTAGGCTGCTAAGGTGAGATGGCCTGGTTTATTTGACGGCGTGGATTCAGCCACAGAAGATTGGATTATCGACCAGATGTATGCGGTTAGTATTTATGGATGGTTTAAATTTGGTTCATGCTAGGATTCATGCTGCTTTACCTAGATTAACTTTGTTGTTGATTCTGTAATTTGGCTGAAAATCTCTGACGAGTGGAGGCATAATTGGAAGGAAACCAGAAACTGACTTTAATTTGCTGGAAGTTTAGATAATGAATTAATGCTTTATGTTTTTGAGGATTTATTTTGTTGAATCGATCTCCAGCTTCTGAACGATGTCTTGTTTAAACGGACAAAAGGAAAAAAAAAAAAGGCCATAGACACTCTGGAATTTAAAGATTGAACATGAATGTAAAGTAGAATTTGATGGGGGAATTTCCTTTCGCTGGTTTCCTTGTTAAATACGTTATAGCACTTATTGCTTAGTAATGTAATTCGAGATGTAAATGAATCAAACTTTCTGTGAACTACTTGAAGCTGTCTTCTTAATCTCGGCCCACTTATGAATGAATGAATGAGCTTGAGTAGCCTGTCAAGCTCTTTTAGATTCTTCTCCTTTTTTTCCCCCCCTCTCGCTTAATTATCCAAACTCTTCTAGCAAACGAGTCGATATTGAAAATTTGGCTCTGAGCTCATTCAGCATGCGTACAGCTCAGAATCAGTTCATTTAATAATTAAAATAATTAAAGGGAGGTTGACCAAAACTTTTGGCTAGATTAAACGCTGAGCTTGAATTCAGAATTGGTCCATTTTAAATGAAAAAGCTTGGGGGCATTAAAGCTTGCTCTGCTGGATTGCAATCCTATCATGGTTTGTTTTGATGATTATTTTAGGTGTGGAGAGTCATGATGATTATTTTAGGTGCTTCCAATTTCAAGAAAAATCCCATACAGAATGATTGGCTACTCTTTTCTCCCTCTGCATGAGATAGTTAAATAAACAATAATTCTGAATGTTAGGTGCGACCAGTGGTGGAAACTGGATATGAAAACGTTTTGCTTGTGAGGCTGTTGCTTGAGACAAGAACACCTTCCATCAGGAAGTCTTCGGTGGGTATAATTCCTTTGACCCATTCTTATCATGTATAAGCGATTTAGAACTTTATTACTCTTCATGAGTACTGTAGCCTTGAATCTACATATGTATTCAAATCGCTGGTGTGGGCACTAGACCAGTTGACTGATATAGCTCTTCTGCAAGGTTGCGGAGGGGCTCACAGTTGAGGGTATATTGGAGAACTGGCTTGCGCTGAAGCCCATTATCATGAAAGAATGGGGTGAAGAAAATAGGGATGCTCTAATAAATCTTTTTGGGAAAATCAGAGATGAATGGTTGGAGAATGATTTCACTACTTGGATTGGTGCAAACAGGTAGTTCAAACAATTAGGGAATCAGTTATTATTCTCGTACAATTATACCAGATGCATGATGACGCATGTAAAGTCTTATGAAAAGGAGAGATTATTAGGTAGAACACGTGTACAAAAGAGAGATAGACCATGCCATTGTTGGATAAATATGTAAGCACATTAGAGGTGAGGCTTTCTAAAAAGTATCTCTAATGTGCTTACATATGGTTGTCTTGGTCTCCGACTTTTTATTTAGAATTTAATTTAAAATTTTTCAGTGTACAGTTAGATTTGTCATGCATGGACCTGCATTATCATAAAAAATTTTGGCCGGTTCATGTTGGGCATAAGCACTTATACCAACTCAACCACCAGAGTAGCAGGTCGTGATCAATGGTGTTGAGGAGATGGACCTCCATGTTGTGTTATGTTATAGAGTGATAAATTCGTATTCTGTCAGAATTTTTTTTTCCTCTTTTTTTTTTTTTTTACCCCTTCAAACATTATAATTCTGCTAACTGCCTTGCCTCGTAGATTCTATCCTGGCGTTACTGATGCACTGAAGTTTGCAAGCTCAAGAGTGTACATTGTCACCACAAAACAGGTCTGACCTTCTCCCTTTTCTCCTTACAAGGAGGTAATGGTCTTTGCGATATATAATTTCAGGTTCAGTATCAATGGAAATAAAGGGGGTGGTATGCTAAAAAGTTAGTGCCCTTTTCCTCTGTCATCTATTTTGAATTTCAGAGCCGTTTTGCTGATGCTTTGCTTCGAGAGCTTGCTGGTGTGACCATTCCGCCAGACAGAATATTTGGCCTTGGAACTGGGTTAGTATGTGACATATTTGACATATTTTGATTCGCTGACTTGCTGTGGATTGCAGTGCATTGATGCTTTTATCGTCTCTTTCCTCTCTTATTTCAATTGAAAAAAGCTAGTTTTTCATGGACGATTCAATTTTCTCTAATAGCCCAAAGGTGGAAGTGCTGAAGCGGCTTCAGAAGAAACCAGAGCACCAAGGGCTCAGACTTCAGTAAGATATTTTGCTATTTACAGCGATCGATACAAATTTTGGTCCCAGATCATTATCAATGGAGTTCTGTTATTGTTGAGATGATCTACAAGAAATTAAGTCGTTTTTTTCATTCAGCTTTGTTGAAGATCGGCTAGCAACCTTAAAAAATGTTATCAAGGAGCCTGAGTTGGACGGATGGAATTTGTATCTAGGTAACTTTCTCCTCTTTACAAGACATAATTTTAAAGTAAATCCTTTCCCACAGTGGATGTGATTTGGGTTCAAAATAGACTTCGTTTGCAAAAGATAATCATGTAAACATGACAAGGTGGAATCTGAAGAAACTTCTGGCATATCTATATCTATAACAATCATGGTTGATTTGATCACCTATCTTTTGCATATGATGTCTCAAAAAGTTGTCCTCAATAAGTTAAAACTTTTGCATCCTCCCATTCTGCGTTGGTGCATTATTTTGCTTTCTTTAAGATAAGAGTATGATAAGCTCACCTGTTTGTTTGTTGGGATCAGTGGATTGGGGGTACAACACTCAAAAAGAGAGAGAGGAAGCGGCAACTATTCCCAGGATTCGCCTTCTTGAGATCTCTGACTTCAGTAAGAAGTTGAAGTAAGCGGTTTGATAATAATTGAATTAATTATTTGTTCGATGTCATTTATAACTCCAGCAATCAAGAGATTCAGAAAATTTTCTTTATTTTCATTCTTGTTAAACTGTACTGTTATGTGTCCCTGCTAGTGGAAACTAGGATGTCTCAAATTACTTGCGGAGTCGAACATAATTTTTATTCCTGAAACAACGCATAAAAAAATCTTGCATTGGAAAGTACTAATGATTTCACATTCATTTGCCAGATATAGCACGGATTCGGTTATTTTGTCTGGCGTCGTTCGAACACCCTTTCAACTTTTGAATGGAATTGGATGATAAAAGGGTGAAGTTTTTTTTATTATCAAAAAAGAAAAATAAAGAGCGAAGCTCATGAAGCTGTTAATCTTTCTCAAACCAATGTTCAAAAGTGGACTAGTTACTATTAGACAAAGAGGTTTCAAGGATTCGGGCCTACTTCTACAGAATAGTTTTAGCTGACAACATGAGGGAAACAGGGGACTGATCCTCAATGTTCATTCCCGTTGGCCTGTCCAACCTGGTTCTTGAAAGTTGAAACACGTTCAAGTTGGAAAGTACAACTTTTCAAAAAGTCAAACTTGATATAACCACCAGTTATATTTCGTGATTTTCATCTTAGACTTCCGATTAACAAGGAAATATTTTTAAAATCATTTTCATTGGATGCTTGGTGGAGATGCTTATTTGTTCAAGGGGTCCATACTCGAATCCTCGAATTGCTGCCAAAATCAATTTCAATTCTCAGGGGAAGAGACCACTTTAGTGAATTAATTTCAAATTCAGCCCGAGACCTCTTCAACTACCTGCTCAGGTCCTAGTTTTGGTTAAAAACTTGAGTTTTCATCAGAGTTTGATCGAGTTTCAAGTCGACCAGTTCAGAAATTGAACATGCTAATCTAATTCTAACAACTGAGAATACTCAAACGACCCACACAGGCATTTCCATCCCAGATATCTTGCCTCCCGATGATACCAGAGATTATCATGTAATGCTAGTTTAATTAGTAAAAAACTAAAAATAGGGTGAAATACGAGTAAAAATATGAAGTTCAAATCCGTCATTAAATAAATAAATAAAACATGGTAAACTATCAGGTTGATTGGTTTACGAAATGCTTGCTGCGTTCAGCAACATCCGGGAACTGGATCATGAAGGGTACTCACGCCCGCGCACACGTGCTGAAAAGTGAAATGTAATGTATTTACTTCAAAAAGGTTGGATAGTGGGTCAGGAACTACAAAATTAACGAACATGGTGGTTAAGATTCAGAAAAGATGAAACGTCATTTTCTCCAGAGAATCATAGCTATACCGCTCAATTACAATTCCTCTTTCATTTGTGCATCAGTTTCCTGAGGTCCAGCGTTATCTGCTTTGTTTTTCTCACTTTGAAGCCTCCCAATAACCTCGTCCAGAGGAGGATCTCCGGGTCTTCGAAAAACTTGATCCCCAATCTTCATCTCATATGCTTCTGGTTCGTTCAAGATAAATTCCTTCAACTGATAACATAGTACGCAAATGAGATTATATGGACACAAAAGCTTCATTTACAGACTAAACCTCAAGATGTAGAAAATTCGTTTTCTAACGCAACACACAAGAGCACCTCTAAGAAATTTTTGGGGAGAAGCATAAGGACTTAGAAAAGGATAGCAGTTTGAAGATTGTCACAACCTATAACTCAGTCACCAGCTGCTATTTTCACCGTTGTCTACTATATTTATATTTAAAATTAAAAGACAATAAATGAAAAGTTATAACCAAGGGAGAAGAAATGACATACTTCTTCAAGTTGTTTGCCTGATTCCAGGTTAAACATGACTGTATTAAGATCAACACCCATGAACCTTGCTCCAACAGCTCCACTTCTCATCATTTCAGTCCATTTCTTTGCAATGTTGCCCACAATTTCCTAAAATTAGGCACAAAATATATTTCTATTACAAAGTAAATAATAAGGCATCTCATGAAAAATTAGAAGCTAAAAGTTAAAATTCTCTTGAATGTTAAACAATAAGCGCGCTACAGCTTCACGGCTTCCAACTAAAATATCCAGTGTTGATACAAGCCACTGAGAACTAGGAGACACAAGGTTCTAAGTTCCAATATCAAATCAAAACTACTTAAATTAATAAACATTGAACATTCCTCTCTATAATCCCAATACCACGAGAACAAAGCATAATGGCACATTCATATTTCTAAACCCTGAGGCCTGAGCTTGGTTTCTCACTTGACTATGAAGCTATGTCATTAATACCACACAAGGTCACACTTAGAATTAGCTTTAAACACTACATATTTCATCATGATGTAGTGACAGCATTGCTAGTTTTCAAAACCTGTCATGCCAGCCAGTACTCTTGCTGCTCTTTAGGTCGAGAGATATCGTCAAAGCTAAAGCAGCGATAGCGAAATCGATCATCATACACTCAATTTACCATTACTCTCAATATATTAAGATTTACTTCAAGATTGCAAAACAAGGATGTCAAAGACCAGAAAGCAAACCGCGGTTCAAGTCCATGGTGCACAGCCCGAATCCAGCGAGCATAATGAGCGAATTCAGATGTCCAATTCAAATTCAAGCTCCAATTCAGCTAATAAAACAATGGTATACAAGCGAAGATACTTACCGGAGTTCGAGGAACCCCTAACCGGAGCTTAACGAATCCGATTGCGGGACCGGATTGGCGCTTGGCCATCTCAGCTTGGATCTGGGAGATGTCCATATTGGAGAAATCCTCGGGAGGCGGAAGATCGAACTCGGAAGAGGATGAATGTTTCTTGCCCCATTGTCTCCAAGCATCGTCCTCTTCATCGTCAACAACGTCGTCCAAATCGTCAGGGATGTGGACTCGTCGCTTGGCGCCCTCGGCGAAGCGGACAAACTGGGGATTGCGGGAAACGAGGAGAAGCAGAGAGAGAAGGAGAAGGAAGAGGAACAGAAAGTGAGGTGAGCTCGTAATTGTTTTCATATGAGGAATTTAAGCGAAGCCTGGAAGTGTAAAACAAGACGACACCGACACCAGCCAGCCCGAAAGAATTCTTCAAGGTGCGTATGGGTTCCTCGGGGTAAAGAGCTATGTCACGGAATTTGCGTTGCTGAACAAACAACAGTGATCAAGCCCACATATATATGGTGTTTAGCAAAAAAAATATGGTACTTTCATTTAGTGTTCATAAAAGCAAACTAACTATTTTTCTAATTCTCAACCTAAGATTTAATTAATTAATTTGAGTAGATTAAATATATTGGTTAAATTAGTTAATATGATGCTACTATATTTTTGTCAAAACACCTTGATAATTTTTCTTAATTCTCTCAATCTTTCTCTTACTTGATTATTGTTGAAGAAGTATTAACAAAGTTAATTTTTTTAAAAAAATGATAAGCATGTAAAATAAGTGTTATATGTAGGATTAACATTAACAGTCTAGTGAGATCTTATATTAAAGGAGAGATGAGTATTAAAATATAAAATATAGTACTATATTGTTGGGAAAAAGTTATGAGGCATGTATATCAAATAGGTTGATGAAAAAAGAGAGTATATGTTAAATAAAAAAATTGAAAAGCTATTAAAGATAGAGTTAATGAAATTTAGAATTTTATTTTATTTTAATGAGACATGTTAAAAATGTTTTATAATAAATAAGACGAAAAAACGCGTACAAAAATATGTATAGAATAAATTAATAAGAGAATAAGAGATAAATTTACGGGGATCTTTTGCATGGGCCTTCCCTTCTTTCTTTTGTTTTTTGGGATGGGTTGGAGAGTTTTATGAATAAAACTGAAGGGAGCGGCAAATACTAGTAATCACATGTAAGCTACTCTTTTGTTAACGTATTTGTTTTTTTTTTAATTATTATTATTGTTAAGAAAGTTTCTGTTTCTGCCTCCTTTCATGTCATTTATAGTAAAATACTGCGAACTAGGATGGAGCATATGTGAGGCATTATCGTACGAAACTTATGAACAAGCCATGTTCACCACTTGAGATTCATGCTCCGTGCCGAGAACCTAGGAACTCCCATGATTTTCTGCGCCTCATTTCTTTTGTGATTATGATGCCAATATTTAATTGATTTTATTCTGTTATTTTTAATATATATACTACTTTCGGTTTTTAATATACGAATTTGTTTCACTTTTATTTTGATATTAAATATAAAACCCTAATCCACTTTGTCTCTTATATTCCTTCATTTTTTTTAAGTTAATTCTTGTGGTAATAATAACTTTAACCAATATATTTGATTAGCAATAATATTTTTAAAAAAACAATACTTATTTATTATTAATAACTAATTTAACTAGTTTTTTTAATCTAGTTAAATTAACTAACTGGTTTTTATATTAAGGACCGGGTAATATATTTGGATGTCCATGTTCCATGATTACTCGCACGTGCCATGTATGAGACCTTAGAAATGTTCGAAATTCAATGCACACTGCATTTGAATATTTATTTTTTTAAAAGAAAAATTATATGATTAACAAAATCAAATAATGTGAATACCGCGAAGACCTTATCGTTAAACGATGTCTTTAAGTATTTTTATAAATTCATTCTAAGCTTGGAAGTATATCTAACACACATACCAATAAGAGTTGGTCTAGTTAGTAATGAGTCAGCTCATAACCTATAAGGTTGTGAGTTCGAATCTCATTGCCGATGTAAGGACTCAACTCATCTAAACTTTATATATATTTAAAAAAAAACCAACACAATTTTTTTTACCAGAGATATCTAACACACTTACTAATCAAGTATGTTGGTTAAAACTATAATTATTAGAAGGACTATCTTGGAAAAAATTGAATAAGTATGAAAGATAAAATGGATTGAGGTCTTATATTTATGATCAACATAAGAGTCAAACGGGATCTTATATTAAGGACCGAAAGTAGTATAAAATTTATATGTAACATATGAACCATTCAACTTAGAAATAGAAGGGTTTGTTTGAAACCCCAAATCTGTATCCATTAAAAATCTCATCTTTATCGCCAATTTGGCCAGCTTATAAGTTATAACTGTACAGTTTACACTATTTCAGTAAGCACTATCTCCGATCTTAATTATAAGACCTTATTTATAATTTATAAACGATGTCTTATAATTAAGACCGGAAATAATACGATAAATTACTATAAAATCTGATTAGTGAGCGGATTAAGACAGAAAGAGAAAGACAAGAGCGTAAAGAAAGCAAGACCATAATTGTTGCAAATGGCATCGAGCGAGAGACTTGTTTTTTCCCCCCTCTTAATCAAATTTGTGATTTTAATAATCAAGGAGAAACATACCCACTATAAGTCACCGTCATAGCCAGTCAAGAAAGCAAACCAAGCACAACTCAAAATAACAAAACGAAAAAACGTACACTATACGCAAAATTCCTCAGCATAAAAACAACATCGAGTGAGGGAATCGACTCAATGAAATGCTAACCTCATGGTTAAATAACTGTTACTTTTAGTTCTGATTTTTTTAAGCATTATTTAATAAAGTTACGCTAACTATTAAATTAACTCTTTTTCCCCCCTCAAAAAATCAAGATAAGGTGATAAGGTCATTGTTGGGCCGACAAAGGGTTTGTTTGAATCTATGACTTGTAAACATTTATAAGCATATTCACTAAATAGATACAAAATTATTTTAACATATTAATCTCATATTTTATAAATCATGATTAAAAAAAATATTTTTTAGTCAGCAACAAAAAAAAATTCAACAACTAAAAAATTATTTATAAACTATTCCAAATAAAACATGAAAAAACTGCTTATGTAGGAAAGGGAATGTGGAGAGTGACGATGATAGAAGAGGGAAACAAGTGACAATTGGGTTTGGGTTTCGTAATTTGACCTTCTGCTCTTTGCCTCCTTCCAAATTGTGACACATTCACTGAACCCCACGTTTGTCGTTAGGTGTTGTCGCCCACTGATTATTCTTTTCACGTTGGGCTTACATGTCACGTTGCCTCTTTCTGTTCACCCAATAAGAATAAGAGATACATATATGTGTGTGTATATATATCTATATATATCATGAGCCTTGGTAAATTAAACTACTCCTTTTAATTTCTTTATGCGTTACTACAAATGATTAAAAAAATCAGCTAAGATTGTCAGCAGCCTGATGTTCTAGCAACAGTACTATCCACCAGGTTTAGAATTCGAGTTCGAACATGAGAGATATGTTAAGATTTTGGATATTTTCAAATAACAATTTATAAAAAAAATCAGACATATTAAGAAAATTGTAAGTTGTAAAAAACGACCGGAGAGATAGTACAAGTAATTCAAATCAACTCAGTTTGGACTGTACTCGTCAAAAGTTGAATATGTGATGTCAGAAGTAGTCAATTGGGTTACGAAGTTAAAAGTCCGGCCGGTCGATTACGGTGGCTGGTTAAATCGCATTAGAAACTTATTATTTCACGTTTAATTTCATTTTTGCGAATTGGACGTTACATGTAAAAAGAATCATGAGATGTACCCACGTGGTTTTACTGATTTCTGCCGGCAAGAAAAATTGTTCATACTGTTCTTTTTTTATTATAAAACCTTTTTAACTAAATTACGTGGTTTAAAAAAACAGTTAAAATTAGTTAAAGACAATTAATATGTAATAAATACATTTTTTTCCAAATATATCCATAAATAAATAAATATGAGAGAGAAATAGTGAGATAAATGGAGAGAGAGGATATATTAAATACATTAAATTAGAGATAAAATAGATAATACTGTATTAAATGTTTAGACAAACTCAAAAAGGATCTTATAAAAAGAGACAAACCTATTTAAAAAAAATTAGATCTTATAATTATAATTAATAACAGAGAAAGTATACTCATGGGCCCTTTCCAAGAAGGATTCCATCCTGTGATGAGGTGTCTATTTGATTAAAATTGTGTGGATTTGGAAAAAGAAACCAGAAAAAAAAACCAAAAAGAAACGAAAAAGAATATTAGAAGAACGTTTAGCCGTCGAAAGGGGGGCGGCTTTTGCATTCCAAGTCGAGTCCAAAGCGCATAAAAGGCGTCAAGCGACAAAAATGAAAATCCAAGGGCGCACAAAAATATAAGATCGAATCATTATACATGGATGAACCTCGAGATTCGTTTCACGAGAGCCTTATAAATAAACGAGCCTCCTTAATCAGTCATCTCATTCCCTTATTATATTATTTTCGCGTTTCAGTTTTCCCCCGGTTGCAAGCTCTCAGAGTGAAGCTTAGCTCCTCCTCCATTAATGGCTGCTCTTAGGACTTTCCTCAGGAAAAGGCCTTCCCTTTCTGCTCACTCCGATTACTCTGTGTTCAGCAGACTCTTCTCCACCGAACCCATCATTGATTCTCCTTCTCTTGTCCAGAAGATCAGAGATCTGCCCAAGGATCTTCCTGCCACCAACATTAAGAAACATGTTTCCCAAGTAATATTCATCCTTCTATCTCCCTCTTTTTCTGCATTTCCCTGCAAATTTTTATGCCCTTGAAAGCTTTCAATCTTCAGAAGTTCCACTACAGTCACAGTTTTTGGGCTGGCTTCCATGTATTAGCTGGACCCCATTACAAAGATTTTTTGTTAAACGAATGGAAATAATGGCACCTACCTACACGATTCACCACTATGCTGAATTTTGGCTTTCACTTTCAGCTACAGTGGTGAACGATTATTTCACTGCGAACGAATTGTTTAATTTTATCTTAAAAGGCGATTTTTTTTTTAAATTTCGTCTTTAAAGTGTGATTTAAATACACTTCCCTTTTTAAGATAATTATTTTTAAACGGCTTGACGTAGATTTCTTTCCTATCGGCAAAACTTAGAGACAGAAGTCTTTTTGCAGAGCTATGTGTCGATTTTACCGTTGTGTACTCGAGGATTTTATACAATTGATCTTAAAAATCTGAAATAAAAGTTTCCTCTTTCAGCTGGTTGGAAGAACACCACTTGTTTATCTTAACAAAGTCACTGAAGGATGTGGAGCTTATATTGCTGTAAAGCAAGAGATGATGCAGCCCACTGCTAGCATCAAAGACAGGTCTATCCTATTTCTGTCGTAGACCTATTTGAGATTCTATTATGCATCTATTAACCTTAATATCAGAAACTAACTTCACGGAGGTATTATCTCTTTATTTGCCAGACCTGCAATGGCTATGATCAATGACGCGGAAAAAAAGAACCTGATATCTCCTGGGAAGGTTGGTTCTTAGTTGACTCAATTCCAAACCCTATTGAGTACCTGTTTGACCACGCTACTGCAGAAGCAAAGAATAGTGCTTTTAGTGTGGATCTGCCGGCCAATGAATTGCTTCAATGCTAAATGGTTTTAAAAAAAAAAAAAAGAAGAAGAGGAAGAAGAGAAGTTCAAATTTTGCAGGACTTTCCAAACATGCTCATTTTCTGTTATATGTGTATTTCATGGGTAGATATGCTAATAGTTGCTATAATTTTTTGCTGCAGACAACTCTGATAGAGCCAACATCAGGCAATATGGGGATAAGTATGGCATTTATTGCAGCCATGAAAGGCTATAAGATGGTACTTACCATGCCTTCCTACACAAGCTTGGAAAGAAGGGTGACCATGAGAGCGTTTGGGGCTGAGTTGATCCTCACTGATCCAACCAAGGGAATGGGAGGAACGATTAAGAAGGCATATGAACTTCTTGAATCCACACCAAATGCTTTCATGCTTCAACAATTCTCCAACCCAGCTAATACTCAGGCATGTGAATGATCCCATTTGAAGTTTTTTAGAGAAGTTGAGAGTCATGTGAGTACCAGAGTATCCAAGAAAAAGAAAAGAAAGGAAAAAAAAGTAGGTGTTAAGGGTGGGCTGTAGGTGAAGGTTTGGTGTTCAAACTCTCCTTGAAAAATATATAATCTTGTGGTGTTGAGCTTGAAAAAAAATTCCATCCCCTTGTCATGTTTTGATTGAAAAATTAAGGGATGAAAAGTATGTTTAGGCCAATTGTTTAAGTAAAATAGTTCAAAATGAATTGCAGGTGCATTTTGAAACAACGGGTCCAGAGATTTGGGAGGACACAAATGGACAAGTAGACATATTTGTCATGGGAATAGGTAGTGGTGGAACAGTTTCTGGAGTTGGGCAATACCTTAAATCTAAAATCCCAATGTTAAGGTAAAGTGCCCTGACCACTGTTAAATCATGAATATTGAGCAATTTTTTTTTTAGGCATACTGATTGTAAATGAAATCTTTCCAATTCCATTAGATATATGGAGTGGAGCCTGCTGAGAGTAATGTTCTCAATGGTGGTAAACCTGGTAAAGTTCATGCTTTTGCTGCCTTTTCTTTTCAAGAAAAATAAGTTGTAGAGAAGAATGTATATATTTCCTTTTGGCTTTTATTGAAATCTATTTTTCATCACTCTGAAGTCTGAACTTTATCACGAACATGCTAAAGGTGAGGAATTCCTTGTGTATATTGCCTGCCACCAAGCCCTTAGGAGTAAAAATGTAATCATGTCTGCGTAATTGAGTGAGACTGAAATCTGGCATCTTTTACAAGAGGTTAAAACTCTGATATCGTCAAATGAAATAGGTCCTCATGATATTACTGGCAATGGGGTTGGTTTCAAACCAGACATATTGGACATGGATATAATGGAGAAAGTTCTTGAGGTAAGTGCTGAGAATTTAACTTCATCCTAGGCGGAGTTAGCTTGATCTTTTCCCTCTTCTCTTCGCAAACATGACCTGTGACTCTTATCTTGCAGGTTAGCAGTGATGATGCAGTTAACATGGCCAGAGAGTTGGCCTTGAAGGAAGGACTCATGGTAATCCACTCCTCTAGCACTTGGAAAAATAAACAGCACCTTAATCTAACACATATTGTACACTGGCACTAGACACACATAATGCAATGTCCCTATTGATGCTTTTTTAAGTGTTTATATTTCTTGCCTTTGCATTCAGAATGTCTGAAGCTGCATTCGTATTTCCTTTTCTTGTTTGGTTTTACAGGTAGGGATATCATCCGGAGCTAATACAGTTGCAGCTCTAAGATTGGCAAGGTTGCCGGAGAACAAGGGAAAACTGATTGTGGTAAGAAACGTTTATATTTTAGCCTAAATCTAGATGATTTGATGAGTTGCATTGTGATTCTTGACATCAATGATTAGAAAACTCTGCAATTATCTGCACATTTTTTCTGCATCATAGACTTGTTGCTAATTTTCGTGATAATGAATGATAACTTGAATCTCAGACGGTTCATCCGAGTTTTGGGGAGCGGTATCTGTCATCTGTCCTGTTCCAAGAACTTCGGAAAGAGGCCGAAAACATGCAACCAGTGGCAGTGGATTGATTCAGAAGCGAATGCTCTGAAACAACCAGAAAGACTTACTGTGGGAGTTGCATGGATCACAGCATTCCTCTGTCACAGTCCTGTAGTTGCAGAATTCGTCAGCTATTCATAACGCAGATCGCTATATTCTTGTCTCTCCCTTTTTCTTTTTACTTGCAAATGTTGTGGCTTGTTTGCACCATAAAGGTCTGATGGTTCAAGGAGTTCAATCCTCTTTTTTCTGAAGAATGTGTCTTATGTAAATGTCAATTTCAAGTTTGTCATAGAAAAGAAAACCCAAAAAGATGAGACAGCATTATTCTGTACTTGATATTTAAAACCCTAATAATAATATTATTTGATATTTAAAGTACAGGCGTTTTTGTGGAGTAGAACGAGCTTTTCATAATTAATTTTTGAAAAAACCATATTGAAGGTACTTATATTTTTTTTTAATTTTCAATTTGATACCTATGTGTTTTTTGTTCTTAACTAAATCTTTAATTTTACTCTATTAACATCATTAATCTTTATGTAGAGACTAAAAATATTAATAGAACAAAGTTATAAGAGCTAATGTTGCTAAAAAGATAAAATTAAATGTTTAATTAAAAGGAAAAAAACACATAGGTACCAAATTAAAAATTGAGAGGAAGTATAGGTACCTTCAATATGGTTTTCCCTTAATTTTTTTTAAAAGAGCAAGCATATTAAATGCCATCTAAAATAATAAGAAAAACTAAAATAAGCAAAATTGCACAATCGTCCTTCAATTTTAAACAAGGCATGGGAGTGCGTTATAAAAAAGAGAAAAATATGTATATATATATTTTTAATATATTGCATGAACTTATTCAAATGAAATTCGCACCAAAAAAATCCCATTAAAAGTCAGAGATCAGATTTTTTTTGGTCAATTGTTTCACCCCAAAAAAGAAAAAAGGAATTGACCTCAGTTGAATTTTTTTTTTGGACCTGCAATTGAAATTTTTTAGTATCATAGAAGTTACGACATGCAAAGAAGTCAACCGCGGTGATCACGCATTTACGTTTCGGCTTACAAGAAAATCCCCTGGCCATCCAGTTATGGTGGCACATTTATCAAATTAACTTTTTATCACAAGTCTTTGGCTGGCGTGATAGATGCGAAAAATATCATTTTTTTTAAAATTTATATTTTCGCTGGAATAAAAATAGTGAACAAATAAAAGAAAGACAAGCCAATGACCAAAATATCTTAGCCCAATGGAGGTGTGAATTAATAACTTAGGTAGAAGGAATTTACCCTTTACCCTTAATATATAAAGAAATTAGTTTTTGCTTAATATTCACAGGATGTATATTTAGGACAATACTTAATTTTTCATATCAAGTATGTCAAATCCTCAATTATTTAATATGTTTTCTTTGTTATTAAATATATGATTTTTTTACCTACTTTGTAAGGATTATAATTAATATGTTGAAATTTGTGATCCTTTTCTTGGAATACCGTACAGTTAATCACCATATTTAATCCGCCGGATTGACTGAAAAATGAAACATTAATTACAACATTACTAGAAAAAAATATACTAATATAGTAGGCAAGAGGTAGATGTCAAACCAAAATCTTCAAAACGTTCCTATATTTATGGCAGAAAAGGAGTACTAGCAGTCATAATTCATACCAGTGAAAGTCAAAAAGCATACTAAATATGGCTCCAAATATGACCTTAATTTTTTCAATGGCCTCTCGTACGCAATTATTGTTCGATTAATTCATACTTAATTTAATACATTTTCATGGAAAAACTCGAAAAGAGTATAAATTAAATACATATTAAATATTCACAGAAATAAAGGCACTTCCTAAGCCTGAGCTTTTAGCCCTTTGCTTAAATAAAACTCATCCCAAGTCAGAATGAAAATGATGACAGAAATGAATGAGCAGAGCATCCAACGTTTTATTTTTCACGAAATATAATTATTAAAACGTTTCAATAATAAATTAGTAATATAGACTTGTTGTTGATGAATACTTTATGAAAAAAATTACAATAAGGTCTCAAGTACAAAAAAATAACTATAAAATAAGTTACTCTTCCGGTTACACTAAAGTGGGTTTTATATTTAGAATCGGAGGAGTATTATTTTTTACTCTAAAACTTATTATTATAGGTTGTTATTAAGATTTTTTAGTAATTATTTTTTTCTTGTTATTTTAGTATAATCTTTTTTTTTTTTTTTTCCGGTGACATAATTCTCCTTTTCTTGTGTCACCATAATTCTTCCTATTTTTCACCCGAATAAGAGACAAAGAGAGGCCAAATATTCACACAAGTAGAGATTCGCATTGATTCCTCACACGAGTTAGAGACGCGTCTGTGTTACCGTGAAATGAATTGATAAATGATAAATTTTGCAAAACTCTCACGGCAGCGCCCCTTCCTTATTTTGGCATAAAGGCATAGACGCTGAGCCTTCCTTGTCAACTTGAGCAAACAAACACCATTTTTTTAAAAGAAAAAATAAAAAGGAAAAAAAAATCGTAGGGTTTGACTGGAAATTGCAAAATCTCGTCCGTTCCCCGCAGTGGAATCACCGATTCCGTCAAGTTCGCTCCTCTGGG